CCCCAAAACCCCAAAACCCCAAAACCCCATTGAAAAAATTATCATCGATTCAGCAGATTATATTATAATCAATAAAAATGTAAGTATTAGGAAAGCACAAATACTATTGTGAAATGTGCAAGAAGCAATGCAGGGATGAGAATGCATTTAAGCAGCATAAACTGTCCTCATTTCATTAGCAAAGAATGTTTGAATTTCATCAGAATCCTGAAGTCTTTCTAGAGAAGTATTCTGAAGAATTTGATTAACAGTTTAATGAGGTCTTTAAGATTAAATTTGGGAGTGCCAGTGCTGTCCCTGCAACTAAAGCTTATAATGAATATATCAAAGATCCTCATCATACTCATTTGAATTCAACTAAGTGGGCGAATTTAGCTGAATATAGTAATTACTTGGGAGAGACAGGTAGGTACGAAGTAACAAAGGAAAGAGTTGGAGACAGTGATTAAATTATGATTAAGTTGATTGATATTGATGAGGGAAAGCAAGGATAATTAACTGACTGAGAAAAGAGAGACTTATAAAGAGAATCAGAGAGAAAAAGAGAATAAAAAGATTTAGAAAAGATGATAAAAAGAGCAAATAAGTTAAATGATTAAAATGAGATAAAGAAGGCCAAGGAATAGATTTAATAAAAATAAGATTAGACTGAAAATAGCTCAGAAAGCAAGCATTAATCATTATCATGTTTTAAAATGGACTTATCACTGAATGTACCTACATAGGCATCGAGTAATTTTCGTCTAGGATCAGCAAGATTCTAGCCTGACACTGATCGCGATAATAAAGATGAACTTTTGGATTTACAGAAACAAGGCTAGAAGAAATCAGTTTTAGATAAGCTATTAAAGCATTCTGGACCGATATAAACCTAACCTTATAAAAAGCTAGGTGAAGAAAAAGAATTGAAAAAACATGATGCATTTAATTAAGAAAAAGTAGAAACAAGTGATAAACCTAGGAGTGAAGAGAGTACAAAGTGGATCAAAAAGTACTTAATTGTCAAAATAAAGAATGCTGATTCCAAGTATTTCAAATTAAAAGGTGAAGTGATAGAGGTAATAAACAAAGAAAAAATCAGGGTCAAGATTCAAAATGACTAAAAAGATGTTGAAATATTTAAAGAATAGGATCTTGGAAAAGTATTGCCTGGTGAGGGAGGAATAGTTCTTACAATCAAAGATAATCAAATAGGAGAAGTATTAGAAATTGATATGAAAAGGAATGAAGTAAGATTAAGGCTTGATAAGACCGGAGAAAAAAAATATTATAAATTTGACGATGTATGTAAAATTAATTAATGATTATTATTTCTAATTAATAGCATCTCTTAAAATCGAAGCATAATCATTAAATCATAAATTCTCTAAGATTGATATCAATATCATCTGGGTACTGATCGTTAAACTTGTCTATATACTTCCGGTTAATCTCATTAATCAGATATTAATCTTCAATCAACTCCTTCATCAATTCTTTGTCCAAAACCTTATAGAATATCTTACTAACATCTTAATCACTTAAGTTTTTTATGAAATTATAACTGTGAAGGTATATATCTAATTTATTTGTGTACAGAGCAGTAAGAGTTAGTTTTTGGAGTTAGTCTGAGTATTTTTCAAAAACATCATAAGACTAGCACACGATAAAAACGTTGTAATCTGTAACCAACTACTTAAGCTCATCTATCAAACTTATTGATTATTAATCTTCTAGTTATTGATATTTTAATTAGGCAATAGCAAATTAATCAGGTAGTGTATTAGAATCAATGCTTTCTGATATTGCCTTCAATGGTAGGAAGAAATTCAGAAAATTACTAAAATCGTTAAATGACTTGACAATTGCCTCAATGTCGAAATTCAGCTTGCTTTCCTCTAAAATTCTCTTAATAATTAAGCGAAGCAAATTTTCAGGAAGGGTTTTAATGCTGAGTCTAGTCATATCAAGTATTAACTTTTGAATATCAAATTTATCATTCCAGTTATTGTAGTTCATGTCAATAATCATTGCGACTTATTCCATATCTTCAATATTTTTAATAATATCTTTTAAAGGATTTTCTTCTTCCACAATCTCTTATTGGACTACTTACTCATTTTTCAAGCCTGAAGATAAATTTTTTTCTTGGTTATTTTCATTAATCTGCGATTGATTTACTTGAGTAATAGACTAATTTGATGCTTCTTGTGAATAATCAAAATCTAAATTTTGAAGAGCTGATAGGATCTAGTCTAGACTTTTGTTTTTAAGATACTTAAGTTTGGCTTTCAAATCTTCAGATATTTCTAGGACTCTAGCTAATTCTTTGATGTGATAACATTCAAATTGCTTGGTCTCAATAAGATACTTTAAAACTTGATCATCGTTATTTAGATTTTCTGAGATTTACTTGAACTATCTCATATAATATCTAAGTCTGCTCTACATGTTATTCTGAATGCTCATTACTATATTTTGAACAAGATCTGTTTGTCTCTGCTCCTTCATGATTCTTAGTGAGATCTGGCAAATGTCATAGTAAAGACTAGAAGACTTATTCATATATTTGTGCAAGAATTTGATCATATCCTTTTTTATCTACCATTTGTCAATACCTTCGAACAACTTCACAAGCTTAACTAAAATTACTTCTAATTCATCAACCCATCTCATTTACTCTGCATTTTCAACTTTCCTCAATAGGATAAGCTCATAAATCATTTGCTCCATATAAGATGGTATCTAATTAAGATTTTCGAAATACCTGAGGCTATTAAAGTATTTAAATACTTTAACAACTACTTGATTCTGCTTAGTTTCATCTATAAGCTGTTAAGCCTCTAGTAGCACAGAGAAAAAAGATGGGTATTAGCTAAATCCATGAACTTATAGTATTTTGTCAATTAATCTATCATTGCTAATATCTTGTCTGATTTATGCATTTGGTATCTAGCCAAAAAGTAGATTATTTTGCTTTAAGAATAATGAAGCATCAAGTAGCCTATTTTCCTTGTATAGATTTTCAATATTCTTCCCACTTTCGTCTTTTTCTATCAGAATTTCGAGAAAAGCTTTTGAATTCTAGAAATTCTAGTAAAAGTTATCATCTGAACTCTTATTAAATTGCTCCTATAGATATTTTAAAATACTAGTCTAAAGATCTTCCATCGGTATGAGACCACTTTTGATGAGTTGCTCGATACTTGATGTTACTCTATTATCTAATAACTTAGATAGGAAAATCTAGTAAATATCAGCTTATTCCTCACTCAATCCTAATTAGTCTCTAAGTCTTACCAAACTATGAAGCAAATCAATCCATTTTTGATCAATTTAGCCTATTGTCTTAGACCTACCAAATGCTAACACCTACTCCTTCACTCCTTTTGATTGAGATATTTGATGATTCATTATTTAACTGCATAGATTTTTGAACTCATCAAGATAACCACCTGTAGATGAATTTACTTGGATCTTAAGTAGATCCTTAAATGGAGTGTCGATTGCGTAATTATGCAAGATATTACGAGCAATATCATAATGATTATTTAGATAACTTCTGATGAAGTTTGCTTGGTTTTCAGTTTAAATTAGAGTTTAAAGCCTTTAAATGTACATATAGATTTATTCTTGATTTTTTACAGATAATTTATCATAGATAATGTCTAATGTAACTTAAACCAAATCTTCATCTCTCTAAATAAAAGATAAAGAATTCAAAAGAAGCATACCAAAAATAAGAGAGTCTTATCTCCATGTCTCTATAGTATAATTGCTAGTAAAGGACTTCCTTCTATTCCAACTAGCTCACAAAGATAGTACTTAACATCTTCTATGTACCTCTTATACAGCTTTTAATCCATAATAAATATCCATTTTGCATAACTGAAGAATCCCTATAAATATTACTTGAGTAAAATTTACCTCAATAGCCTTGACTGATTCATTAAGACTAACTTCAAAACCAAACAAATCAGCGATTTTCTTTTCTTAATCCATTAGATTCTCAGGGTTCTTAATCAAAGTACTTTCAACAGCCTAAATAGATAACTTAGTCAGATTCTTAATCATTCTATTTTAAGAAGCCTCTTGTAAAATTCTCAAAGCTTTACCAGGTTGATTTAACTGGAAAATATACTCTACTGCTATTGTATGATAAATCTGGTAATCATACATCAGATTAGAAAATTGTTCGATATTCTTATCATTCAAGAGCTTTTAGAAATTAAGCCAAAACTTTGAGAATTAAGATGATCCTGGTGGAAGGTACCCTAAAAGAAAATGAGGATCTATAATTTCCAGGGGAAGATTCTGAATCACTTGATGATAATTTAAAATGATTTCCTCCTCAAGAGATTTTAGCACAAGTTTGAGAATGTATGATGAATCTGTAAATTAAAATGGAAAGTAAGAAATAATGCTGCCAATAGTGTCTATGAATAAATAACTTCTAAGGTTTAGTTTGCTTGAGAGCTCAAGTCTCGATTCCTGTAAAAGATCTAATCTTTTCTTTGCTCTTAATATCAAGCCAATAGTATCTGTGTCACTTGTATTTTTAGCAAAAATTTGAATGGCTTTGTCTATAATCTTCTGAACAATCTTGACATTTGGAATGTTCTATTCTAGTAAAATGCTCATTAGAGATTTAGAATCCTTAAATTCCTAATTTAAATATTGATCAATGAGTACTTCATCCTAGAAATTCGACTTTTCTAGTTTGTAAAGAATCAAGGACATATTATTTCCTCCTTGCGACCTTACTATTAAGATACATTTAACCCGTAATTAAACTTACATATGGTTTAAGCTAGCTAAATCTGCTATTTATCATCAATAAGACTCTAAACTAACTGCTCCTACTTAACTTTAAATAATCCTTAAACAAGAATCTTCGAGTTATCCAGTTTATCAATAGCAAACATAAGCATTTAGTTTTTAAATGCAACCACATATTTACTGTTAGTATAACTCATATCAAAATATATATTGTGCTAACTTGGACTTTATTTATCCCTAGTCATTTTAATTATGCACACCCCACCTCTTTTTTCTTGAATCAGCACATCTTTTTTGTTTTATAATAGCACTAATGTTTTTGGTTAATAAAGATTAAGGGAGTGCTTGGCTCTAAATTCTAGCCTTCTGTAAGCTTTCATGTCCTCTCCATTGATATTCAAGCTAATCTTCTTTATTTTGCTGTTATTGTACAATATCATAAGCTACTCTCCATTCTCAAGCAACAGCAGTTTATTAATCTGATGTCCCGGCTTGAACTTAATGAGGTCTAACAATTTGAATTAGTACTTAGGGGCATTTTGACTTGGTTAGTTTTCGATTAAAGTAATATAGAGGATGTGAGTCATTTTTGTCAGTGAATGAGTGCAACTCAGAGCAAAGTATAGAGCATTGCTTTCATCTGTAAAGGATGTGCATTCACTTATATAACTATACTGCATCAGTATCCTCATCAAAGTTGATGGAGGCACGAGATTGTTTGATTCATGAATAAACACATTGATGTCCTTGTCTTTGCCAATGAAAAGAGTAGATTTCATTATTGGTAAATAAATTCCAAAACTGGGCTAGACATGAAAATTGACACTTCTTTTCGTCTCTAAATTCACAGCATGTAGTAAGGCATCATCTCTGTAGAATATAAGCTTTTCCTCTGGATTGTAGTTTATCAATTTGCCTGAGAAGTTAATCTAATGATTTTCAGGATACCTCAACTCGAAGCCCTAATTTGAGTTATTAGATTCTTCTATTTTTAGGATGGAAGTTGTCTTGTCTTTGTGATATAGTCCTATATATTTTTGGGCTTGGTCTTCATATATAGGTGAAATTCTCTTAACATCTGATTTAAGCAGTTTAAATTCGTTGATAGTCTTAGACACATAGAAAAATTCTAATGGAGACTTGATCTAATGCTGATTGGATTAATCTGACATATTAAAACTTTAAAAGTATTAATTAACTCAATGATAATATCAATCATAATTATATTTATTTAGTTCCTTAATTAGAGTGTAAATTTGATCTCCTTTTTCATCCACTATTTTTCGCCTCAAACTAATTAGTCAATGTAATTCTAGTCTTCACTAATCATCAACAGCATCTTAGAATCTTTCATCATCATCACATTCCATTGTGTTATCAATGAATTCAATTTACTACTCCAAAAATTCTAAATCCTATTCGTCAAGTTAAGAGTCTTCCTAGGGTGGTTCATTCATTTAATTGTAATAGTTAAAAATCTTGAAAATATTTTGCACTGTATAAAATTCATTAATGAATGTTTTACATTATCCTGAGTCCTCAGGAATTAGGAGTAGCACTGCCTCATCTTCATTCTCAATGGCTTACTGTAACCCAATTAAACTCAGAACTTATGATTGATTATTCTATAAAAAATTTAGAAAAAATGAAAATCCAGAAATTTCTGACTATGCTTATCTTTGTAAAAAGGCAAGGCTTTTAATCAAGTTACTGATCTTTGCTAGTAGCAGCTATTAAAAATTCACTATAGTCCAAATTGATCACATCTTAATTCTCATAATTCATCCATTATACTTTCCTATTTTAAATAATCTCAATATCCTTTGGCACCTACTTAGTGGTAAGATTTAATTGACCCTCACAGGCAGCTTGATAATCCTGATAGTAAATTTTCATAAGTATTTTATCGAAGACATTGGACTCTTGATTGATCTGAGTCTAGTTAGAGACAACTTCCATGTTTATTAGTTATTGCAAATATATTGTAAGTCTGATTATAAATTTGTATAAATATTATAGTTAATTTATAATTGAAAATGATAAACATATTTTCGTTCGAAAGAAAGATCAAGGAGCAGATTGATTAAGATCGAAATCATGACAACAGACAAAAATGGCTTAATAAATACAATGGTAATTTTAAATATTCCCGTAACATTGAATGATGATAGAGCAAAGAGAAGAAATGATCTAAAAATATAAGAAAAGAATCATGCAGTTCATTGATAGGGTAAGTAAAAAAACATCATGGCAAGGTCATGAATGATTATTTATCATAATTAGGTTGCAAAAAAACCTTGTGAAAAGGGAGATGACTATACAAGAAGGCTAGATATGGCTGAGAAGTCATTTTACAAGAGTAAAATTCTAGGAGATGAGTCTATTAGAGTTCAGCATAAGTATGAATCTCACAGAGTTAAGGTAGGTGTGATTTCCTCTTTAGGATTTTAATGAAACAATTTAACATAGGAAGCTGAAGAAAAGAATAAATCAATTTTGGACACAGTTCCAAATGATATTCTAGATACTGGCGATCCTTTAAGACTTAGGGAAAGAGAGAAAGACAGGGAAATAGTGCCTCCTTACAGATCTTAGCCCAGAGGTTCTATGGAGAGATTATATGATTCAATAATTGATAAAGGGCTGAGTAATAATACTAGGACTGATAAGTTAGCCCTGAAATCATTTCATAAAAAGATTAAAGTTCATAAAGCAGATCCAGCTACTTATATGAATAAGACTAATGGTACTTAATCTTTGACACCCAGAAACTTTCTTCCTGATCTTCATGATAAAACTCATTTCAAAGCTGCCTACACCATCATGCTTAATAGTTAAAGTAAGAAGAATCTGAGTAAATTATAAAACTATAGGTTGCTTATAAGACAAATACGGAAAAACTATATTTGTCAAAGAACAAGAAAAATTTGCTTAAAATGGTACTAATCCTTAATAATCCAACAATATTTCCCTTTCAAAGTTTAATAAGGGCATATCTTTGAATCACGGTCTACACAGGTACTCAAGTACAAATCATCTGTAGAAAAAGGGATCTATAGATATGTCTCTAAATGATAGACAAGATTTAAGCCCAAGAAGCATTGGAAAGAATGATTAGTCAATCATAAATATCTTGAATGACCTAAGTTCAAACAATCTTTAGGCAGAATAGATATAACAGTACCATCCTATTCAAAGTCAATCTCCAGGATTTAATCTATCAAAGATTGACCCCTTAAACAACAACAAACCTAATATTCTAATTAATACTTCCTATATGAACACTTCGAATTCAAGAAACGTTAACTTGAAAAAAGTATAATCTAGTAAAATTGTGCGATATAACTAGACATAATCCTAGTAATTTAAGAAAAAAGATAGTGTAGATGATTCTGCCTTAGACTAGCTTCTTAATGCCTATAAATCCAAGCAGGAGGAGCCTGATAATTACTTGGCTTGGGAATATGATAAGGAAGGTCAGAAAAAGCCAGTTGAGGTCGTAGGACTCAAGAAAAAGCATAATTTTGGAGAACTGCTAGATCCTGCCGAGGAGGAGAGATTCAAGAGCGAATTCCAGATGAATCAAAACAAAACTAAGGATATGATATCAAATTGCTAATATGTTAGGAAAAAGCACTTTAAATCTTCTACTCTTAGATATGGAGAAGGTGCTTTATTCATGAATAAAGGGCTTACTAATAGAGATTATGAGAATAGCATTATTAAGAAAAGCTTATAATGATAAATATATAATTTCCCATCACAATACTTATTTACATATTTATAACTATTTTTACTAGCGGGGTTTTGGGGTTTTGGGGTTTTGGGGTTTTGGGG